TCAAGAACCATTTTGTAGAGCGTGTTCTGCTGCATCTTTTCACACTAGAGACACATTTTTAATCATGTATTTTACTAAAGAAAAACTAACCATTCAAATCGAGTCAGGACTTCTGGGGCACCCTTTATTTCCAGAAATAGCCTTCCTCCAATAGTAAATAGCAATTTTTTTATATTTATTACATTTTAAACTACGATAAAACATGCTTAGACGTCGCGATGTGAACAAAATTCAAATTTTTTTTTCAGAAAACAGAATTTTGTATATCCAGACTTATTTACTACATTTGTGCATTGTACACGTCATATGGTTGATTATGTATGTAATAATTTTAATCACATACCTAAATGAACTGCATCTTTCAAAAACTTCTGATTACCAGAAAATTTTCGGATAAACTTTCAGAAAAAACTTGATCTTCGAGACAAAAAAGTAATTTCTTTTCAAAATAAAAAGTATACCATCAGAAAGATTTTGATAATACAGAAATCAGTAAAAAATAGTGTTTTTTTTATTGAAAATGATAGACAGGTATTTTTAATACGTTTAGCTCATTTCGTTAATTTGTATGATTTTTGTAGACCGACGATACTCTTCAAAAAGCTGAAAAAAATCTTAATTCTACAAAAGGTCGAATTAGTCAATTAGTGTCAATTGAACAAACATTTAATTCAACAATTCGAAACTCTATTGAAGTTATTGCTATTGAAACTGAACGAAATTTAAAAGAATTTTTACCAAAATATCTTGATGAATTTATACAAGTAAGAATAATATTGTATGATATTGTGCAAAATTACAGACTCATCTGTTAAAATCCAATTATTTGATCGCTTTCGACCACTGTACACTCTTGTGCAAAGAAAAATCTTTGTGACTACATACATTCGAGTATACTCTATCTGAATATGAAATCAGATGTACTCAATACAACTTTCAAATTCGAGAAAACAAATGTTTATTAAAATGCATCGTTTTTTTGCCTGTTCACAGTTATAGACTCGATATCGTAGTTTCGTTATTTTTGTATCAAAACAACGTAAGTTAGCCCCGAAAGTTACATAGACAGACAGGGCAGCTGTTTCTGAATATTTTTATGAAAAAAAGACTTTAAAAAATGATCTATATTTGAAGTTATTATTAGATATTATCGAAAAAGTCAAAATGAGTTGAAAACATCGCCCAAGTTCAGTATTTTGGCTAGAAAATTTTAACAAGAGGCTAGACGCATTTTTTTAACAACGAATTCGAATAGAAGACACTTTATTCTTCAAAATGAGAGCATGTTTCACATAAATAAAAAGAAAACAAGATATCTTCATTAACTATTTACAGACAATGTATATGTATAAAAGCGAGAACAGAACAGTAAAACAAGAGCAGATAAATCTGATCCATGTCAAATCACACGGCACTTTTTTGCAGTAAAAAGCACAGAATGTTTGAGCAGGTGCGTCTATAGTTTTGTACACTACTGTATTATTAATATATATATAAATTCATATTTTATTTTGTATATGAATATTTAGGATTTAGATACGCTTAGTACAAATTTTGAAAATTATACTCAAAATAAACAAGAATTACCAGTTGGAACAAGAACAACAGCAATACGAGTTCGTGCATTAAATTCAAATATTAAAATATTACAAGATAAAATTAAACAATATAATATAAAATTAAACGGTATGATGAAATATATTGATTTGTGAGAATGTATTTATTTTTTGAAAATTTTTCTTTTTCTAGATGCATTAAAGAATTTTGAAAATAGTCGTCTATCAATGCCATCAATTCAAAAATTTGATGAATTACGAAATCAAGCACGTTATGCTCGTGATCAAATTAAACAAAGTGCAACACATTATGTTGATTGTTATCGAGTTGAACGATAAAATTAATTCAATTTTTGCTTAAAATTACAATTATTTTTGTATTGTTACGATTGAATGTTTGTTTTTTGTTTTTATTCATGCACATATCTAGTGTACATAGATGTTTTTCTTGTCGTTATGTGTGTTGTTGTTGTTGTTGTTGTTTTTTATTTGTTTGTATAGTGTTTTTCAGATGTTTTTCGTTTTCTTTTTTAAAATTTCAGTCATTGTAAGACTCTAATTGTTTCTCTCACTTTGTAATCCTTGAAAAATATATGGATAATTAAAAGATTATATAACTTTTGATAGAAAAATTAGTTTTTAATTCAACAACTTACAAGGCATATGTAATTTATCGAATTTTTATTTTAAAAAAAGTGATTATTTTATAGACAAAAAACTGTCTACAATTTAAACAGTAGAGATAGGCGTTTTAGTCATTCTTACTGAATGAAAAATTATCAGAACTTTACAAAAAAGACATGAAATCGGTTTATGTGATAAATCATCTAGTAAAAGATCCGGTTACTAGTAAGTTGATCACCACAGAAGTAGACCTACAAGTCACTAGTTAAGCATGGTTCGAAATATCAACGGATTAAGATGCTCTTATCTGCTACTGGAAAAAAACTTTTAAATACAATATGTTTTTCATCTGGTAGACGCTGTTCTCACTCTCTTATAAACTTGAACATAACGCTAGATGACCAAAATATTTAATGACAGTACATAGAAAACACGTCTAGAATCTTTCAATTCAATTTAGTCTCACAAATAATTAAAAAACAATTTTTATTCTCTTTTAATGGCATCAGAAAAGAGCCTTAATTTTGACTCTTCAATGAAAATAGTCCGCTTACAAGATTAGTGAAAAATAAAAGGTAATCATACAGCTCTTTCTCAATTTAATTTATTATTAACAAATTAATCAGAGACAAAACATTCATCAAGTAATAAGCTTAGCTCTCGTTAACAATAATTCATACAAGAAAAAATTTCTTCTTTAGGCCTCCTTAGTCAGGATTCTAGAAAAATAGAATTAACTATTCTCTCATTCTGTTGATATCTCAACTTTTTCAATTTCTACTACTATTCTTAAAAACCCATAGATAATCAAAAAAATACTACATCCAAATTTCATACTCTAAATACGATACGGTTTATTGGCTATTGTCCAGTATTTTCTACACTCTTATTTTTTATCACCAACAATACCTATAATACCTATAAACAAAAATCCCAGCAAAAATACATAATGTCTGTCGACATAATTATTCTTTTGTTTTACTCTCATGTTCGATACTCTTTTTCGGCGTAATATTTAGACATTGATCGTTTATTAATACGTTTTGTTATTATCATTCATTGGAAAATAATAAAAAATGAAAATAAATAAATGACATGAGTAATTTTTCTTGAATTATTACTTGTGCTTCACCATGTATGATCAATAACAAATTATTTTATTTTATTATTATGTATCTTCTCGTATTCATTGAAAAATTTGTTCAAAAAAAACATTCACACTAAGGACCCGAAACGAGGATGAAAAAGACGTAAGTATATGTGTATGAGAGAGAGTGTGTGTGTGTGTGTGTGTTTTCTCTTTTTCTGCATTTGTGATATAAAAAAATTTCATTAAAAGTTACATCGAAGAGTATAAACAGAAAAAAAAAGAGACTGTTCAACGAACGAAAAGATAAAAAAAAAAAATGAAGTTTGAAAGAAAATGTAACGAGCGAACGTTTCTTTCTTTCTTTGTTACAAGCGTAGAAGTAATTAAAAAAGAGAAGAACGCACCGGGCGCAAATTTTTCACAAAAAAACCTAACCAACACGTACATGCGGACATGTTAGAAGAAAAATAACTGTAGAACTTAGACAAATAAAACAAGCAAACGATTGTCTACATCTATTGCACTAGAAGCAACCTTCTTCGCTAAATGTTTGATATTTTTAATGGAAAAATGTATTGATGAGAATATGTGCACGCGAATCTTTCCAAGAAAGAAATAGGATGGCATACACAAATTTCGAATTTCAAATGTACTTGTATATCCCATAGCTAACAAAAAAATACTCAGAACAGACTTATGACAGTTTTACCATACAATCACACATAAATAAAAAGAAAACAAGACATCTTCATTAATTATTTACAGACAATGCATATGTATAAAAGCGAGAACAGAACAGTAAAACAAGAGCAGATAAATCTGAGATTATCAAATAACAAAGAAGATTATGAAATATTTATAAGAATAAAAATGGAATGCACGCTTGTGTGTGTGTGTATAAAAAGAAAAAACCTATGTTAGCACCATGTTTTTTTGTTTGTCTCGATAAACAAAAACAAATTATCTTAAGAATATCGATGTTTTGGTAATTGATTTTGACTTGCATATCGTAAACATCGAATCCATTCTTTTCGATCTTCTTCAGATGTTGCTGACATACGATAAACAGTATGATTTCCTTTAAATAAATAAATAAAGTTCAATTATTGAGAATACCATAAATATTGAAAGAAAAAAATAAACAAAATTTTTTTATTTAATAGTAAACTATCTTTATTTTACCTTCTGTTGTTTTTCCCACATCTCCTGGAGCTGGTTTACATGCTTTGACTTTATCACCAGCTAATGGAAATAATTCAAAACAAAATTGTTTCGTACGATCATCTGAATCACGAACATCAACATTCACTAACGGGATAATGCCGCGTGGATCACGATCCTGAGAAAACAAAATAAATATGTATTTATTAAAATAAACAAGATTTTGAATAACTTACTGTTGTTGATTCAAAATAATATAAACATCCTTCTGTAATAACAAACCATCTTCGCTTCCAATTTCGATATCTTCCACCTAGAAAACATGATTAATTTTTGTTTTTATTAGAGCAGTTAATATAAATAGAACACCTTCCACGTTTTTACCTTGTTTAAATAGAAATCCTTCTTTGATTGCATTTACATTGTTTCGAAATAGAGGTGAATTAAAACCATCTTCTGGAAATTTTAATTCATTATTTTTGATATTATCATAAATTGTCTATTAAATATAACATAATATAAATAACATAATAATAATATAAGTAGTATGATAAATTTAAAAAATATTAAATCTTACTTTGATATTACTTGGATCAGGCATTTGGCCATTTGTGGTGATTGTTTCACTAAGACTTGTTTGAAATTTTTCTAATGTAAATATTCCACGAGTAGATTTAGCATTTTTATTGTGCAATGATGTATTTAACATTATTATGGCAAATGATATTATATAACACACTTCTTCAAAAATAAAGAAAAATAAAACGTTTTAAATAAAGTGAATATATAGATAACTTCAACTATGTGATCAATCAAAATCGATTTACCTGAACTACTGTACACATGTGGATTACATTCATGAAAACGTTGTGCAAATGCTTCCATCATACGATCGATCTTCTGTGCTTCACCCGGTAACAGAAATGTAAACAAATATTGTCTAAAATAATACAATCATGTGTAACATTCTATTGTAGCTATTCCTAAACGATCATATACCTTAGTGCGTCGACAATGCAGATTGAACGAAATTCATGCATATGAGCAAAATGTTTCAAAACATCAATATGAAAATCATCTCTATAAAACAAATCAGACACAGTTAAACAGTAATAAGCAATAGATTAATGGGTGTGCTATAATAAACTGGACTAAACGTTACTGCATTTTTTTCGTACTTCCTCTTCAAATAAAAAGTTCCTTCACATACCAAAAGATAGAGAATTTCAAGCTCTACAAAACGTACTATTCGAATCTCTAAGAGCATTTTTCTCATTTGAGCACCATTCAAAATATTGAAGCGTACTAAGTTATCGAACTGCGACACACTGAAAATAGAAAAACATTTACCTTGATCCAAAAATAGATTCCATAAGATTTTTGAAAACATCAGAAGATTCACCGGAAAATTCTGCATCTTCTCACATATTTTTCGAAATTTTACAGTTAAATCTTCTAGGAAAATTTCTCTGTGCAAAAACCTGATAAATCCAAAAAAAACCTAACTTTTGAACCTATTTTTTACAGAATTTAGTTTCTGGACTATAAAAGCAGTAAAACGTTCTGAATCCAGGGTTCTAGTCTTATTATCTTACATAGAATTAAATTCTGCGACTTTTGATATATAAACAAAGTATCTCAATTGAAACCATTAATTAAAAAAATTAATTTAATTTGAAAAAATTGAAAAGCCGGTTGAGAACTAATTATGAGATCAGTTGACGTAGTGGAAACATTGTATAAGATTGCAAATCAGTGAGATCGATAGAGCGCAAAATTTTCTATCTTTCTACCTAGAAAAATTAACTATTGAACCTCAGACAATGTGTTAAAAATCTAAAAAAATGAGGTGACAAAAGTACGGCGCAGTTCGACACCTTAGCACTCTTCAATATTTTGAATGGTGCTCAAACGAGAAAAATGCTCTCAGAGATTCGAATAGTAGGTTTTGTAGAGCTTGAAATTCTCTATCTTTTGGTATGTAAAGGAACTTTTTATTTGAAGAGGAAGTACGAAACAAATGCAGTAATATTTAGTCCAGTTTACTATGGCACATCCGTTAACAACATTTACTTTTCTCCGAGATAGTCCCCAATGGCACGTTTACTTAAACCATTTTCTTTGTATAAAAATGCTGCTACATGTTCGGGAGTATTTTGAAGTAGACCATTTTCAATAAGCCATCGAATACCCTACAAAAAGAAAAAAAAAGAAAATTTTGATTTATTGTTAGATATACCTGAGAAAGAATACCATTTGTTTCATACCTCTTTCGGATTTAGATTGAAATGTTTCTTTCCAAGTGTCAATTGTTTAATATTTGAATTTCGACGACTAAAATGAACAAAAAAAAAAACATACTAGTAGAACAGAATGATAAAAACACATTTTTCAGTGAAAGAATTAGATCTGTCTGAGTTATTCACGAATAGAAATTCTCATAAAAGATACACAGTTCATCTTTTCAACCATGTTATGAATTACAAAGAGAATTTTTTCTTTTTAATTATTTGGAATCTACTCTACAGAGTATCATCATGAAAGAAAGTTTGTTAAATTCTAAAGAACCAAATTGAGAGAAAAATGACATCATATTATCGAGCAGACTAGAGTGTAAAAATTTATGAGTCATTTTTCTCATCAAAGATGACATTGAAATGTAAAATGAGAATAAACTCTTAACATTAACATTGATAGAAATATGTAATAATATCGAAAAACAAATAAGTGGGACAATAATGTTGAGCTTTTGATATCGTTCGTTCATGCACGCACAGTTAACAAAATAATCAGATAAAAAATCGAATTATTTCATTTTTAAATTAATATTGACAAGATCTTAAAGATTTTTTTTTTGATATATATAAAAGAGGTCTTATTTCATTCAAACAATTACTTTAGAAGTTAATATATCTCATTATCTTATTTATAATACAGCATGCGCTATAAATAAGAAAAACAGATCAATAGTTTTTGTTGAAGTATAAAAATTGTCATTCTACCTCGGAATATCTGATTGAGGATGAAGAGAAAATGAAACCGAAAACCGTTTAACATATTTTATCGGTTTTAATTTCGGTTTATTATAATTATCATCATTACTATCTGTCGATCTGCTATGTTGTTCAGCAAATAAACTAAGTCTTGTCGGAGATTGAGTTTTAGATATTTCACTACTACTTATCGATAAATAACTACTATTCGACGTTGTCGATAATGTATCATCCGTTCTTAATAATGTATTATCAGTTGTTAATGGTATTGAATTTACATGATAATCGTCATAAAACATTATTAATTATCCTGATGAATGATAAACTTAGAATTATGAATGAAAGACAAGTGTATTAATATTAGAATAGTTAATCGTCTCTTTTTTTTAAACTTTTTCGATAATAGAAACAATTTTTATAAGTAATAGTCATAATAATTATAAATGAAAAATGATTATTTTTTTTGTCGTTCGTTTTTTTAGAAGAAGAAAATTAGTCGTAAAAACAATATTGTATTTATCATAATAATCTATGTGACTGAAAAAAAAAAAGTAACAAAAAATATTCGGAGTTATACATACACGAACAAAAAAACTTGAAAGTTAATGTGCGTGACGTGACATGTTGGTCTAGATTACGCGATTACACATATGTATACAAATGATAAATGAAGCTTCGAAAACAAGAAGAAGAAAAAAAAAATGGATAATAAAAGAAGACAAATAGCTTAAACACGTTTAGGGTCATCGAACTTGTGTGTAGTTTGTGTAAAATCCTTCGTTATCAAGAGTAATAATGCACCATTTCTTAAAAATTAACGTGACTCATAGTATACTGTATGAGACGAGATAAAATGAGGTTTTTTTCTCGGTTTTTTTTTAGATAGATAGATAAAAAATATCCTATATATTTTTTAACGTTAGAAATTAACAAATGTATAAATAATGGATAGAAAAAGAACATTTTTATTATAAAATAAATGAAATTAGATCAATTTATTTTCTTTTATCTGATGCTTACCTAAATCGGATAAGTGATGCTTTTGTTTTGGTCTGACAAGGATGTATTCTATGAGTAATACTAAGCAATTCGTGTAAAATCATTTTCTTTTTTTTAACTCAATGTAAGTCTAAAAACTTTTTTTTTCGTATTTTTGTATTTAAGCTAATGAATGGATTCAGTTTTTTTTCGTCTTTTCTTTTTAATCAAATACCTTGATGAATAGTATGTAATTCAAAATTAAATGAGATGAAATTGATTTGTACATACATAAAGCAAATAGATGTCATTTTGTTATATTAAGATACGTAATGTATTGATTCAGTAGAAAAACAAAAGACATCTCTTTTTGAATAAGTACTTCTTTGTTTGTCTACATCAAATAGTACATATCGTACAACGGACGTCATGAGAAATGCGTAACGATCTTAAAATAGCTAACCAATTGTACTATTTGGTCTGTTATATTAATAACTTATTATAATATTCAGTACGAATAATTAATTAAATAAAAGAGAATGTAGTTTCAATAATATGCATGTCTAGTACACACACTTTCTATAAAAACTATAAGAAACATCAAGCAAGATGGTAAATAACAAGAGGCAAAACTATTGCTTCTCATTAACTTAAAATCAAAATATGGATAAATTTTATTTTTCTACAATACTTAGCATTCTTGTTTTCTTACTCATCATTTCCATGAGAATTGATCATTGTCATTTCCACTTCACATTGGGCTATTTTCTCTTTAAGTTCCTATAATAGAAGAAGAAATCAAGTCATATCTGATAAAACCAATATAAAATTTTAATACAATATCAAGTATCAGTTTAAAACGGTCAGTCAAAATGAAGAAGCCGTAAATGTGAATAGAACAAACTTTGTATTGTCTATCGTCAGAAAACTTTTAAAAATTTCCATTTAAGAAATGTAAAAGATTTTCAACACAAAACTACTTACTAAAATTTCCTTTTTAAGTTGTTCTTTTCTTCGGTGAATGTATTGCACCGTCACACTCGCGTTCCCACCACCATTTCCACCGCTGGTTCCATTTCCTTTAAAACAACAAAAAAAAATTAAGAATAAGAGTGTAAGTTCTTGCCAGTTATTCGTACGGTTGACTCACCTATACCATTTAGCGTCATTCTGTCTTAGTTTGAAATCTAATCTAATATTATCTGAAATGAAAATGAGAACCAGATAAATTTGTGAAAGAAACAGATGAATAGATGATTAAAAAAGAATGGTCTTCTTGATTTTTTACGCATATCTTTAAATCTATTTATTACTTTTGGGATAAGAGATTCTTCCATTAGAAATGATGTGTTTCATTCATCATCCATGTAATTTTCATCATTTTATGAAATACGATACAATCATTTGGTGAAGTCGTTATAACATTCTGAAACTATTTGTTCCACTGAACATTTTAACTCTTCAACTGATGTTAGTTTTATTGTAAAAACGATCTCAATATAGTGCTTGAACCAATTCTTTCTAATTACAGTAGGCCAAAGTGTTTACATATGGATCATTTACCGATCAAAGCTCGCTGGGTATTAGTCATGGAAAGTTTTATGAAATTATTTTTATATTAAATAAATATAAGCAAATGCAACATCTTATTGATATATCTAACTATTATTTAACATCTTTCTATATTTTAATGAATTTCGTTGATAGGTCTTTTCCAATTAACAGTAATCTTATCAGGTATCATCAATACGTTTAGTCTGTTAAATGTGTTCGTAACCAAATCATGACTATCGATGAAAATGTTTTTATTTCCTTCTCTTAACATACTGATCATCTTCGACACAACTTGTTGTCGGTTAGCGATGTGTAGCGAGCTGTTTATTGAGCCCTGATTCTACCCTGTCCTACAGAAGAGAAGATCGGGCAGGATGGGGAGCGCTCATCATCGATTCGATGTTCATTTTGTACCCATTCTAAAACAAATCTTTTTTTCTCTTGATTTGTTGTTGATCTGTAAAAGGTGGTTCTCTGATAATTTTGTACACTCAAACTATTCTTTTAATATTTTATGAGCATGTACATGAAAAATTAACAATTCACATTGATAATTTTCTTCTTTCTCTTAAAACGTTGTTTTCCTTCTATAGTAGTTGTTCTTGATCGAACAGTTTGTGGACGATCGAAGAACGTTAGTATCTCTATGGTGCCAGTATTGTCAGTTATTTATAAACAACCGTTTAATTAACTGTTCTTTTACCAATCACAACGTTTAGATTTCAAAATATTCCATCTGGACCTTCGTCATTTTCACGTTTAGAAATACAGCATTTTAAAAATCTTTACTTTTCACCTAATAAAAATTATATCTGTAATAATTTTCAAAATATTTACATACGCTTTTGTACAAAATAAAATAGAGTATCTTTCTAATAAAAAAAATAGCTAAAAGCAATCAATGAATTCAAATATATGAGTAAAATAGTGAGAGAACTACTTTTTGTTAATCGCTTTTTAATTCTAACTTATTCGCTACAAAACTGAGCTTTAACAATAATTACAATCCGTGCATCCTGTTTCTTTAATTTTTGCCTGTTACCTCGATTTGATATGTCTTCCTTTGAATTGTTGTTTACTTAATAAGCTCAACTTCATCTGGGTCAAACATCAATGTAAGAAACGACATGTACTTATTAATTGATGATTTATATAGAATGTAAACTTTAATAAAAAAAAATACGTAGATATTCTCCATAATAAATAATTCATTCATATTTATAACTTTTATAAAAAATAATCTTTTCTTAATAATGAAAACATCAGAGACAAAAAAAACAAACAAACTGAAGCGGTATAAAAAGCAATCGAAATTGAAATTGAGATCAGACAAAAATGTTTTTTAAGTCTCATTAATAGAACTAACCTCGTATGGAAATACGGAGAATTCAACATTCAGTTTACCTCAATTTATTCAGTGAAAAAACAAAAGGTTACGGACAGGTTATGACAAAAGAAATTTGAAAGAAGCCTGTAGTTCAGGCTCTTGATAGTTATCTAGGCTTATTATGTAGAGAAGAAAAAGTAAACAATGATACGAAAAAATGTACACAAACAAGAAAGAACCAAACATATACGTTTTTGAGTGAAACAAAGAACATAAAGAGAGACATAAGAAAGACAACCTTCTTCATCATCTTGCGAACATTCAACGGTACGATACAATACAATCTAAGAAGACAGAAGGATTTTTAGGTTTTAAAAATCCGTCTTACAATAGCGTTTTTTCACATGTTCAAAACTTTCCTAATGGATTCATCAGCAAGGCGCTGATGCTGAAATGATGTCATAATCGTCGGTATTCTTTGCAGAAATGTAACTGTCAAACGATCATATCCGATTAAATGGGTCTTATTTAATTCATCCCTGAAGATAAAACTTTCAGAACGAAAATTTTAGATGCAGATGTTTTGATTATTAAACGGTTCGATTGTTGTAAAAATTCTTTTCTAGTGGAAAGGAAATTACTATAATGAAGACAAAGGCTACGATCTTGATCCTGTTGTGGTTTGTAACTGTAATTCCATATGTGACTGTTGTTCGAACTGTTGAGCTGTTTTTACAATTTTTTCTTAACAATCCAATAACTGGATTCTCAATTTTTTAAACCTTTTCTTTCTAGCATCGAAACATTATCGTCTAACACTCCTCTCCTTCTCGTCACTCATTCTTTTCATCTGGTGTTTTGCAAAGAATTGTAAGACGAATCTTAACAGATATATATTTGCTGAAATCTAAGATTAAGAACTTGAGACGAGTAGTGTTTCCAATAGCAAAGCGTACTCACTGTATCACAGCGTATATACACTTCGGAATTTAAAAATATGCTGTTTTAAGCTTTGCTGAGAAAAGTAGAGCGTACAGTGTACGCTCTGCTACCACTGTTTATGCTTTGTTTTCTAATAGAATTTTTTTTATATTTAAGAGAAAATAAGAAAAACATTTTTTAATTAGTGAGTCATTCTGCTGTTTGAGGCAAGAGACTTCTTTCTTGTTATACAAGATCAGTGATATTTTTCTCTATTTGTAATTGTCTGTGTCTCCAAAGTTACCTTCCAGAAAACAAAACCGGTATGACGAAAATTTCTTTTTCTTCTCTAATTCCTGGCGGTTGTATCACGAAAAAACTTAAGTCAAAGTCTAGACCTAAGTCAGACTTAAGTGTATAAAATTAGCACGTAAGGCACATAACGAAGACTTAAGTCTAACTTAGATCTAGACTTTGACTTAAGTCTTTTTGTGATACGGCCCACTGATGTCTGGTTGAGGCTTTCTTTTTTGGATTAGAAACGTGTACGCTTTGCGAAACAGATGGAGCGTACGCATACGCTTTGGTTGAAAAAACAGAACGCTCAGCCGATACATTCTGTTACAAACACTGCAGACAAGTACCTTAAGATAAAAAACTAAGATATACCGTGAAGGAAGTTACGCACTTCAACAGTATAGTATCAAATATTTAACTATTTATTCACGAAAAGTGCGAGATTATCAAAGGTGCATCGACCTGTAACGCACCAAACAAATAAGCACATAAAACAAGATATGAATGCATAACGACGAGAAAATACAAATACTCAAAAGCAAATAAATAAACGAGTGAACTGGAAATACCGTCTTAGAAAAAAAATTTTCAGAAATCTTTTTGAAAGATTAATAACATGAACAATTAAGCAGCTGTTAAACTTAAGTGAGCATAGCACTTAAATCTCATGGCAATTAAATCTCATCAGCTTCATCTTATTTGTTTGAGAGTTGACTTAACTCTTAATATCTTATGCTAAATCTCAAGTGTCGATTTAACCCTTCCTTTTAACTTAACCTTGTTTTAACATCATCAAATATGATCTTAAGTTAAGCATTGACAATTTTCGATTTTCGGTATGCCGGTAACATATCAGATAGCCATTGAAAATACATATGCGCCTCCGATGTATTTTTAACGTGCTTTTTCAAATAAAAGCACAAATAGTATAAAATAAAGTCTATAATCAACTAGTTCAACTTATTTTAGTGAAATACGAAACGTTAGACGTTTGCTAAACGTAAAAACTGTTCGTGTCCTTATGTTTTAATGAAGTAGGCCGATCTACATAAGAAAATGTATTGAAGTGATGGAACGATAAATGCAACGATATCCTAAGTGAAACCTCTTCTTTAATCTGTACAGTCTACTCTTAGGGTTAAGAAAACAATCACGCTTTACTCTCAACATATAACCCCCAGATTACTTTCCGAAAGAGATTTGAAAGACAATCTGCGATTACAATCACAAAGACTTTACTGCAAAAAACAATCCTTAACTGATTTTTTATTCATTTTGAAAATATATACAGTCAAATAAATGTATAAACCTGACGACGTAATTACAAATTTGATCAATGGTCACATATAAGTGCATAATTAATTCACTCGCATTCCATTGGAGAGAAAAAAATAAAACATGGATCAACGGAGCGATAGCAGTATGATACTACAGTAATAATTTACGTTACTTTGAGAAAGATTATGATGTGATTGACTGACTGACTAGTTTTATTGTCTATCAGGAGACGTGCGAAATTGAATAATACGATATTTATTGTAGGCGAAGAGAGATATTAATACGAAAACTGAACTATCATTTCATGACAAAATTTTGGATATTTTTAGATAGTTCCGATTCTGACAGGTCTGTATTTCTAGATTATTTGCAACAAGTTAAAACAAACAGTAAACTGTTCGTGAAATAATGCCACTTGAAAGTACTATTATCTGGTGAGTATTCCGTGAAATTCTGTAACTTACGTTGTGTGACGACCTATGTAGAATTACATCTGTTTTTTCGAGAATCCATGTGTTCAGAGAAGATGTCATCAGGAAAATAAAACATTTTTTTTTCAAAGTATTGATCAAAAGAATGCTTACAAATTTAAATAATACTCTTTTTGAGCAACCGTAGTGTTTTGAATCGAAATAAAGATTAATGACTTGGTAGTATAACATTTACTAACATGGTGTATTTTTTTTAGTGTTGACAATAGTGATTTTATGCGTGATGGCGACTTTATTCCAACTCGAATGCAAGCTCAACAAGATGCTGTCTCACTTATATTTCATGCTAAAACACGTTCAAATCCAGAAAATAATGTTGGTCTTCTTACATTAGCTGAGTATGTTGGTTTTGTTCCATCTAGTATATTGAATAGAAATTAATTTCTTTTTGTATTTTAGCGGTCGAGTTGTAACACAATTAACAAGTGATGTTGGCAAAGTATTTTCTAAATTGCATTTATTACCAATAGAAGGCAAAATCGATTTTTGTAAAGGAATTAAAGTAGCGAATGTAAGTTATTTAATAATGTTCTCTTATTTATGTTTCAGATCGATTTTTCTTTACAGTTAGCACTAAAACATCGTCAAGGAAAAAATCATCGTCCAAGAATCGTTGTATTTATTGGTAGTCCATTAGAAGCTGATTCAAGTGAATTTACAAAATTGGCAAAACGTTTGAAAAAAGAAAAAGTTTCGATTGATATTGTTGTGTTTGGAGATGAGGTATATTTGTAAAACATTTAACATGAATAATAAATTATTCAAAAATGTCAACATTTTCCTTTTCAGTCGTCCAGAGAAAAATTCGACGAATTTATATCAACAATCAATGGAAAAGATAACACAAAGTAAGACAGTGAAAATTTTCACTTCTTAAACGTTGCTTAATCCTTTAATATTGTTTTTCAGTTCACATCTAATATGTGTACCCTCTGGCGTCAATTTACCTGAAACAATAATTAACACACCAATTATTCAAGGTGAAGATGGGTCGGGTATACCAGCTGGTTACTCAGCGAGTGCATTTGCATTTGGTAATCCAGAAGATGATCCAGAACTAGCAATGGTAATATTAATCAATTTTTTTAGTTAATCTAAGTATCTTATGTATATTTTTCTTTCTTCAGGCTCTTCGCATATCAATGGAAGAACAAAGACGTGTGCAAGAAGCTGAAATTAGTCGACCGAATGAAACCGGCGGTGGAGCATCATCAGCAGGAACAGCAGACGGAGCTGGTAATAAAAAGACAAGCATGTCATTTTTTTCCAATCACATTTAAAACAAAATACCTCCGCAGAAGGATATGACATCTTTAACTAATAAGAAGTGACTGGTCAGCATATCAGAGTACCTTCGAAGGAAATTAGAATACTTATTTTAGGTATCGAAGATCCAGCTATGCGACAGGCACTTGCTTTTTCTCTTGGCGGTCAAAATGATATGGATGTTACGCGCTTATCGGAAGATGAACAAATTGCATTAGCTATTCAAATGTCAATGGCACCGGGTGCAGCTGATACAACAAGTGAGTCAGAAGAAATTAGAATTAGAATCATTGTTTAAAAGTAAAGAAATCAATAAACGATTATAAGAGAATGAACGTAAAGCTTTACCTCAATTTTTCAAGCTCTAAAGTTCTTGTAGAGAAAGATATTGTCAACTGACGTTGACATGAATGATTCAGTTCCTGTATTACGCCTTTCTCGTTATTTTTTCAAGAGAAGAAAATAGTTCATCGTAACGTTTTGAAAACACCTGTGTGACATACTTTGAATTATTTAGATTCAGCAGACGTTGAAATGAAAGATAAAGAAGAACCAACGTCAACAACAGCCACAGCAGGCACGACGGCCATGGAAACAAATCAATCAGAAATTTCTCGAACGAAGGTAGTGTACATACACGATCGAATGTGCAAGTAATTTTTTCAATACATTTTTATAACTGTTAGGTCGAAGAAGATGAAGATAATTTTGCCGCATCGTTAAATGATCCACAGTTTTTACGTGATGTATTAAAAGATTTGCCTGGTGTAGATGTTGATAGTGATGCAGTGAGAGCAGCATTAGAACAAGTTCAAACGACTTCAACAAAACCAAAAGAAGGCGATACGAAAAAAAAAGATGATAAGGAGAAAAAATGACGAACATAAACTAATTTAGCGAATTTTTTTTGTTTATTATAATTTTTTATTTAACTAAGATGTTTGTCTCTTTCTTTGTTGTGTCATTCGTTTACCGTAAGAAAATTTTTTTTTTGTTTTTTAAACTTAAACTTTTTGCAAAGGATGGTGATCCGCAGTTAAGATGATTACCATTTTGAAATTAATTTAAACTAATATCATACTTAAATAATTGCTTCAAGACGACAACAGGTAATAATTTTGTTTTCTGCAATACATGAAAAAAGAGTTGAACATAGATACATTATGCTGGTAAATCAGCCGTTTTACACAGGCAATGACAGACAGCGCTCAAACATATGTCACAGAACTAGTTCCAACCAGTCATTAAAAAAAAAAAGAGATTTCTGATTAGAATGGTGTTTTTGCGCTTGAAAAACTATTTTTTTTTTAAACTTTATTTATTGATGAAAAACTATTCCTCGGTTGCGGAGAAATGAGCATTTTAAAATTTCGACCTTTAGAAAATGCGACACCCCTGATACTCACAACTTGTTATCTCTGCAATCATACAAGATAAAGAGCTCAAAGTTTTTACATGACTAAACCACCATTCTTCTTCAATTTAAAACAAATCCGATCCCTGGGGATAGTGTCGTTCTCATATAGTGACCTATGTCTGGTACGTTCTAAACGTAGCTTTTGTCTACTTTGGAGCCATACTGTATCGAAATGAAATATTTTCATAAAATTTTGAAAACACCATTAGATAGAGGACATCAAATACTACAACATCTGAACATGTGAGTATCTAATTCGACTTTCGGCGGTATTTAGGGCCTTGAATAGATACTACGTTACCCACAAAATTTTTCCTTTTAGTGGTAGACAAAAGTTGGGACTATTTATTCGCCAAATATTTCTAAAATTTGTCTTATGTCATAGGAGAAAATCGATTTTGGAAAATGGCACTTTCGGCTACAGTTCCTATTTTCGATGCAGCTTTTAGTTCAACGGAAACGAATTAGATGCTGACACGTTTAGATGTTATAGTATTCGAGATCTTCCCCAGAAGCAACCCAATACCAACACACACGGTGTGCTTTTCTGTCGGTAACGTCTCACCAAAAGGAATGGTATAAAAATAGCAAATTTTTAAACTGTATGCGTATTAATGTAAGGCATAGTCACACGGACTGGATAATATTCGAGAATATTCAAAGCAAACAGTATGGATACTTTAGAAGACATACACAGATGCTAGAGATTTTTGGGTATAAATACTCTCTTCAACTCGCGTAAATCTCTCGATGCTCAATAAAATAGTTAAGATAGTGGAAGAACTTTAACACGGTCTAGTTATGTATTATCACTAGTAAAGTTAATCTTTTTCTTTTCGTTGTTTTAATCTGTGGATTATAAAATATAAAATCGAGCTGTTTTTTACTCCATTTAGTGATAAAAAATTTAACCACTCTTTTATGTAAATCTTGTCACCTGTTCATGTTGTTAGTATCAATTTCGCGCAGTTTTCATACATGTCCATGTAATTATCGCTAAATCGAGGAAGTTGGCATCGGTAAACATTTTTTAGGAGAAAAGAAGTACAATATCCGGCTCTTTGTTGTTTATCAGATAGGATCCTGATTATTCTTTCTTACGTTGTCATCATTCTAAATATGTTCGTATTCCACCTCCTGTAAACGGTTTTCCTCCACAAACAGTTTCGTCTACCTTCTTTCATTCAAGTGTTACTGAGTGGAATAATCTTCCAGAATCAGTCGTTCGTTCTTCTTCGTTATTGTCAATTAAAATAGCTTTATCCCACGAGGAAACCTTTCGAGATAGACCTCTTCGGACTCCAATGATTTGTACATGGATTGATAGACCTCACTCCTGAACACCCGTTTTTCTGAAAAATCAATTTTTCAAGAACTCTAAAAAATAATCAAAAATCTTTTTTAATTAGGCATGATGGTAGCCCGCACATTTCTTATCAAAATGAGACGTCTCCCAGCTCTACATGACCTTTCTTTGCAAAGTTATAGAATTTAGAAGAAAAGCCCTAAACGTTCATTGTCAGCTCAAAGTTACAGAAATAATAAGAGGAAAAAATTAATTTAGGACTTTTCTTGTAAATTCTGTAATTTTGCAAAGAAAGCTCGTGTGGAGCTGGGAGATGTCTCATTTTAGTCAGAAATGTGCGGGCTACAATCATGCCTCATTAAAAAAGATTTTGATAATTTCCAGAGTTCTTGAAAAACTGTTTTTTTTCAGAAAACCGGATTTTCAAGAGTCATGGGCACGAATCCTTTTACGGTATTTCTACCTCACTGAGGTCTATTGATCCGTGTAGAAATCATTTGAATCGGAAGGGGGGATATTCCCTCGTCAGCATATTTTCAGTAGAACATAGCCATAGTTACAGTTAAAAACAAACTCAGTGCTGTTACTCTTCATTTTATTAATTTTTTTGTTATTCTTTCTTTACTATCTCTCTGTTTTCGTATTATTTTAATTTTTTCTATTTTTAGATTCTTTTTGTTGTTGTTTGGCTCGAGTCATTGTTACGATAGGTCGAGGACTTTGATGACTCACTTTTCGTGAATAAATCATTCATTCAAGGATATCCCACAATTCTAATTATGTGACAATTATAAATACACGGTGGAATTTGCATACCGTCATATGTATTACTTAATAAATTTGTATATGTATCTGTTATTATCGATAATGCCTGAACATTGTCCTTGTCTGAGGTGTTTATCATCATTGTTTTAATGTCATCATGTGTTGCATAATGGCAAAGTTCATTGACTGAAGACTGTAGTTCCAAAGAAATATGTTTTTGTATGATTGGTTAGAGCATCTGATGAAATCTCGATTTCCAATAGAGGAACTAGAAACTAGTCTGTCCGTTATAACAGAATAAGGTCTTGTGTCCAGACTAGAAAAATTAACGTTTTGTTGATTTTCTAGCGTGCCTAGTTGAGTAGTAAACAAATTGCATGCTGCATTTCTAGATGTCCCCTTCTGTCATAGACTTGTGTTCTGAACATCAATAACGTCGCTCCGCAATAAAATGATAGAAACGTAGTAAATGTAGGTATTGTGGTTAATTGTAAGCAAATGTCTGATCGAAAATGAATTCCGGAAAATGAATTCATTTCTTTCGGCCATTTTGTCCTCTGTCATTCTTTTATCCAATCTTAGTATTTTCTTACGTCATAGGAATAAGAACGACAGACGAAAAAACGAGAAGAAAAACTTGAAAATTATGAAATTGGTTTGGAATTTTTTTTGGAATGGAAAACGGTGTTTTGGAATTTAGATTTTTCTTCGATAAATCTGTTTGTTTTTAATAACATCATGGATAAGCTTACTTAGCACTACAGTCCACCATGAAAACTGTAATCGTAACTGTAATGTGCGTGATTTTAAAATTTCCACTATGTTTCTAACTATAAATCTGATTGTGAAGCGAATTTCATTGAATTACTATATTGTAACTGTAAAATTTCCACTGTGACATTTACTCCACAGTGGAAAAATCTAGCATGACAAAAATTTCTACTAAAAACACTGACTGTGATGCTTATGTGTTATCTCGTTCGACGTGTTTGTTTTTCAGTGTATCTGTACTTTTTCTGCAAATAGTGTAACCAGATTTTTTGAATATGAGACTAACCTCAGTTAGTCTGAGAAAAGAGATTAAACCAAAAATATCTTTCAAAAATTCTAACTAGGAAAATCACAAATTTTGAAATTCTCAATGGAGTGTGTAATGCTGCTTATTTCCTCCTTAGTTCAACTAAAATTTTCAACAAGGGTCTAAGGCTGTGACAGTTACCAGTTACTGTTACCACCGTTACTCTGTAACTGTAACTGCTGAACAGTTGACGTTGTGGTAACGGTAACGGGTAAGCAGTTACCGTACAAGTAACGATAACGACCAGTTACAAGAAACGGTAACTGTTCAGTATATCTTTCAAGAGTCAAATCTCTAAATATCTAGGTATCCAGGGTGAGGCTACGAACTTTCACCCTCACCCTGGATACCTAGATATTTAGA